ACGTAGTTAATGTCTGTACTTATTAGTACCTATCCAGAATGAATTAATAGCATATTCAATAATACTTATAACTAAAATTTAAAAAATGCTATCTTACTAAATGAATGAAGCCAGAGCTTTTTTTTTTTTTTAAAATAAAACAATAACAACAACAAAAAAAACTTCTGTTCTTTTTGGAGCTTATGATAATAGTCAAGTACTCTACACTCAGTTCTCAAATTTCTTTCCAGTATGTTCTTTTTTCTTCTTTATGAACAGAATCACTTACTATTATTTTTATAGTTCCCAGATTCCTGATATTTCGTCTTGGATCCCTGAAAATACTGCTACTTGCTTCACTTTTGTATCTGAATCCACGTGTCTTTATATCCCAGATAGACGCACTTCCTCCAACCATTCACTCATGAGCTCCTACTGCATGCCTCAAAGTAAGATTAGAATCTTTTGATGGGTTGGAAACCTTCGGCGTATAATCTGTGCCCCATTGGTCTTTGGATTCTAGTGTTTAGCTCACTACCTTGAAGATGGATGGAACTTGATATAATTTGATTAACAAAGTTTACCTGAATGTTGGGTTTTGCTGTCAACATATCACGTAACTTTGAAGAATAGGTTTCTTATTTTTAAAAATTGCCTTCATATTTGTATTTATGATGATCTAAATAATACTGCTTTTCAGTTGCCTTTCTATAAACTACCAATGCCATAATCAATAATTAATCTGTTTCTGAATGTAAAATGTTCCATGATTTATTATGTATCCCTCAACGTATTGATGGGGTAATGATGTTCAGGGCTGGCTTCCTAACAGGCATCTCCTCACAGAACATTTCCTTCTATCACTGGAAAAACCCTGAGGCTATGAGGGACTGATGTTATTATTTCCACGTTGTAGGAAAACTATCAGTGGGAGCTTAAAACGAAGAAGCAGATTTTTCAAACGCACAGCTTCTTTTCCTTCCAGATCCAGGGCTAGAAAGATGCCTATGCTCTTGTAAAGTGATTTCAAAGGATTAATTTACCATTCCATTACTCTGAAAATTATAAATCTAGTTTAATAACTTATAATAAATCTCAACCCAAATCTGAGTAGTATGAATATCCCCACCTGAGACAGGAAGGAAAACGGGTTCTTTGAGTACCTTCAAGTGGCCACACCACTCAGCAGGATTGGGGTCAGGTGTGAAACAGAGGCAGAGTTCCAGAATATTCCCAATTAGAAAACAAAAGTAACCTTGAGGGGCTGGGAAGGTGGCTCAGTGGTAGAGCGCTTGCCTTGCATGCCTGAGACCCTGGGTCCGATTCCTTAGCACCACATATGCAAAAAGAAAAAAAAAGCCGAAAGTGGCACTGTGGCTTAAGTGGTAGAGTGCTAGCCTTGAGCTGAAGAGCTGAGGGACAGCGCCCAGGCCCAGAGTTCAAGCCCCATGACCGGACCCCTCCCCCCCAAAAAAAGTAACCTTGATAAAGAGGATAGAGAAACTGAGCCAAAAGCATCTTAAGTGATAAATTAAGAATTTCTGTTTTAGAGAATCTCTCTCTGAGAATGAGGGACACAAAGAAGCAGAAAGATGCACCAAGTTTGACCCAAAATTCTCTTTTGTGAGATTTCTTTTCCCAAGATGGGTCATTTCACAGAACAGGTTAACGAATTAAGTAAGAATTGAGTTGACATTATTCATTGTTCATAGTTTCCTTAAATCTACCTGACTCTTTTAACCAATATTTTTCCTATACTTTTGAAAACATTATTTTATAATTTACTATACAGTATACATTGATTATATGACAAGAGAGAATTGCTTGTCCACTTTCTTTTTCTTTTAGTTTCAGTTCACTACACTTAATTAAGGTATATGTCTTGTATATACGTGGTTATACTTGTACAGATTTTGGAGGCCACTTTGAATTTAAGAGTATTCCTTTAGCGTAATTTTAAAAAAGGAGGGGACTGGTTTGAGGAGATGTGAGCTTGAAACCCACTAACTTAATCCTGAAGAAAAGAAGAAAAACAACGATTTATTACACTTTGGTGCTTAATTTGGTTATTATCCTTCTCAGGACAATATTAAGGAATAGAAAACACTAATGATTAGTGCAGCCAGCTCCACATACAACCCATTACCTTCATATGTAACACAAATTATTCTCCTGGAGCCAGAAACAAGTCTCTGTAAGGAACATATGTAACAGTTATTTGTTCTCACTTAATATTGCATTGAATGCAGTGTTTTGGAGTAACTTCAAGGTGAATTTTACACTTCCTTGTCATTGAATGTAATAAGCCAGACACATAATTTTCAATGAGGATGCATGGAAGTCACGAGGTAGACAATTCAAAGCATAAACTGCATTTTTCAGACTGATCTGAGGATTCAAGACTGAGAGAAAAGACCTGCAAATATGACCCCAGCTAGACTAGTTTGTATTCCATCTCCAGCTGTTCTGGAACCGGGGCACTGCTGGGATCCTGGCAGTCTCTCAAACCTGAAGTATGGATGGGCAGAGATGAATTGGCTGGAGGGGGAGAGCCAAGACTTTGACAATTTAATGACAAGGATGTCTCGGGTAGATTCTAACAGGGATCTCGATATTGGAGCAGACTAAATACCAAGAAGTATTTGTAGACATGCAGGCTGTAGATATTTGGTGTTATTGCTTGGAAACTTTAACTCATAAAAGTGTCAGAAAATTATGTGTAAAAATACAGAATACACTTATACCTGTCAACACTTGAAAAACATAATTCTCCTTTTAACTATCAGACCTTGAATCCTCTGCCATTGGAGATAGAAAGTTTTCTGAAGAAACGCTCTAAGAAGTCCTAAGAATACCATGTCAGGTCTGTCTTAAAGGAAGCCATGAACTACTAAGACAGAAAATGTAGAAGAGATTTGTGTGTGTCTGTGTGTGTGTGTCTGTGTGTGTGTGTGTGTGTGTGTGTGTGTGTATGTGGAGGGTGTTGATACAGATATTCTTTCTTGAAGAAAATAGAAGATGTCTCGGTTTTAGTGCTGCAGTTATTTATCATGTGAACTGTTCCTGTGGATTTCAAGTGACTGAGCCACTCAGCTTCTCTTCTTATCACCGTGTACCACATTGATGTTAAACACCCGCCCTCAGGAACATACTTGCTAATCGCAGGATGATCCACATCTATTGATGCCGCAAATAATTTTATTTTGGTATTATTTCATCTACTAATTCAAAGGGCTTTATAAATCTTGAAAAGGTCTCAGAAATCCTCTTAGAATGATTAAGTAGGAACAGTCTAAGCCTTCTTAGATGTAAGTTCCTTGAGGGCACAGGTAGTTTTCACTATGCATAGCTTTAGCTTCCAGCATTATAGGTTGTAAACAGGTAATATTTAAAAGTAAAAATGAACATGCATTCTTCTTATATGTCCTCAAATGAATAAAATTTCCATTCTCATGCTTCTATGTGTGTGTATATATATATATATATACATATATATTCTTTAATTCTATATTTTAAAGGAAACAAAAATCTGATAAACGAATGAAATCCACAAGGGTAATGATGAATGTTTTCTTAGACAATGTACTGTTCTTGCCAAACAAGAATGAAAAGGCAGACATCTTATAATTTGCTTAGAATAAGGGACCTAATTATAGAAGATTCGTAGGAAGGATTTTTACTTGTCAGGTGAGTGCTCAATTGCAATTGATAGACAGTAGTGGTAAAACAAAAATAATTTATATAGCCACTTTCCTATTTTGAAATCTTGTGCAATCAGTCAGATTAAGCATAAGGTTCTGAGTTCAAACCTCATTCCCACCAAAAAGAAAATAAAGATACCACATGTTTTTAGCCATGTTTTCAGCCTCTTATCCTTTTTCTTTAGTTCTTTTGCAGGTAGTGTCTTTCTTGGTCTTAGCTTGATGCTGTAATCTTCCCATGTATCCCTTCCACATAGGCAGGATTATGAGCAACTATTAATTGGATCAGCTTATTTATTGGGATGGAGTATTGCTAACTTTTTCCTGGTTTGGCATTGAACTTTGATGTGCATGATCTCTGCCTCCCAAGTAGCTGGGCTTTTTAGATGTAAACCACTGTACCTGGATTTATCTTTTGTATTTTAAATAAATAATGAGCATTCTTGGATTGTTTGTGTGAAAATCTTGAATTATAAATAACTGAGATCATTCCCTGTCTCTAGTATCTTATTTGGGATTATTTTACGGATAATCTATCAAGCTATGAAATGGCCAGAGTGAATAAAAGAAGCTAAAATTTTATTTGTTTTATTGCTATAGCCAATGTAAAGTTCATCCAACATACTTCAGTGCTTTATATGAATTCTAAATGTTAGAACTAAAATTTTATACTTTAGAAACTTTCCTATCATGACTTGACCATTTTGACCATAATTTTGACCACACTGACGCTAGTATATAAGTATTATCTACTTATTCTAACCTACAAAATGAGGAAAATAATACCACCTTTATTTCTTAGCAAAATAAAAAATGAAGAGGTCTCAAAAGGCAATGATGAGGTACCCTCTCATAAGAGCAAATGATTATTTACGACAGCATTGCTATTTGTTACAAATGCATTGTGGGTAATTGTGCTGACTTCAGATTAGTTCAAATGTGTATTTCTTCCACAGCTTTTATGTGTTGTAAATACTTCATAGCTTAAGATCAGTCTAAACATTTCTGACTTGGGAACAATGGGATTCTTCTTGCCTTTTGACCAGAGTCCTCTTAATCCACAATACTCAACTCTCTGTTTATATTGATGATCCAAAAAAGTTTTGAATGACTCTGAAGTGCAGGTCCACACTTAGTGGATCAAAATATTTTTTTCATTGTTGTTGTTATGTAACATTCCACAACTGTGTTATAGCTCTTTATAAACCCACACAACCTCCAATTCTCTTGAAAATAGAGCAAGAGACAGTAAGGCAACAGAACAGTGACTCCACAGGACATCAACATGCTTAATAAATGCAAAATGAGAAGCCTTCTTACCTAGCATGCAAACACATTTGGCATTCTGGTCAGGGCTCTCAAACAAGATTTCGCCACACCTCTGAAATAGAAAAATAGATGTAATTATTTTAATATTTCGAGTCAGGATACTCAAGGAAATACGTCCATGTAAATATAGATGACCATAGTTCATTCTACTCTTGTTTTGTTCAGCCATCGATGCTAGAACCTTTTGTCGTAAGAAGGGACTTCTCTAGTAGTAAAGTATCTGGGAGGTAAGTTGGGATAGACCATTGCTGCCTGTTGCCTGTTCCTGCCTACAGGTGATTTTGCGCTAATAGTTTCTTTTGCCATGGAAGACGCACATTGCATTGGGCCAAAGGATCAGAGGCTAATCGATCGCTCTCCAAGTTGGTTCTATTCACTTCTATAATTTTTAAGCGACTCACTCTGCAATCAGCATACAGAGTAGCAAACATATAGCTAGGTGGCCAATTCTTAGCTTTTTAAATTCATTCAAGAAAAAAAATAACAGAATGTAACAGTGGTGTTTATAATGTTTTTCTGCATCCACAACTCATAGAAATGTCAACTTTGTTATCTACATTTTAGTGTAAACTTGCTTGTGAAGACATAGGTGCAAAGCAAGCTCTAGAGAACCAATAAGTTATGAAAAGATAGGCCATATTAAGTAATGGATGCAATTGGCATATTTAGTTCCTAACTATAAATAAAACATATAAATAAAAGCCAGAAAAATAATATAGTTAGAAAAAAATGATAAAGGACTCAAGCAACTCACAGGGGATCTGAATAATTAATAAATACAGAAATTATATGTGGCAATGTCCACAATCAGGATTGAGCAAATTATATATAAAATGGGGTTTCTTTTGAGGTAAGCATTTTGACAGAATTCAGGTTTCATTATTATAGAATGTTTCCAAGAAAGTAGAGAAATGTGAAACTTTCACACTTAGTGGGTTGGAGTACAAAACTATAAAATCACTGGAGAAATCTGACACACTATAGCAAGTAATTTTCTAGAGTTCTAACTAGAGAATTTTTGATCTACAACTTTAATATTCTGATTAACAAAATGTAGATACCATTCAAAATTAGAATGCTATTTGACAGTTAAAATGAATTAGAGCTTCATATACTCAGACATGAAATATATAAAACATATAGCATTCAAATTGTAAAGTATTTAAATCACAATATGTGATTTTCAGTTTTATATAAAACATATGTTGTATGCAAGCCACATGAAAGTTAAACCAGGAAAAAGATCTCCATTTTATATGAGCTTGAAGTATCTAAAATATTTATAAATATATTAATTTATAGAAAAAGCAAAATGAAAATAATAATATTAATAAGGCATCAATTATACAGTAGGAGAAAGAGGAATGGAAAATGAGTGTGGCTCACACCTGTAATCCTAGCTACTCAGGAGGCTGAGATCTGAGGATTGTGGTTCAAAGCCAGCTCAGGCAGGAAAGTCCATGAGGTCTCCAGTTGATCACCACCCTCTCCCCCACCAAAAAAAAAAAAATAAAAAGGAAGGCTGGAAGTGGGCCTGTGGCTTAAGTGATAGGATGTTAGTCCTGAACAAAAAAGCTCAGGGCTAGCCTCCAGGTCCTGAGTTTAAGCCCCAGGACTGGCAGAAGAAAGGAAAGGAAGGAAGGAAGAAAGGAAGGAAGGAAGGAAGGAAGGAAGGAAGGAAGGAAGGAAAGAAGGAAGGAAGGGAGGAAGGGAGGGAAGGAAGGAAAGGAAAAGAGGGAGGGAGAGAAGGAGGGAGGAAGGAAGGGAGGAAGGAAGGAAGGAAGGAAGAGAGGGAGGGAGGGAGGAAGGTAGAAGGGAGGAAGGGAGGAAGGAAGGAAAGAAGGAATTGAAGAAATTGAAATATAGAGAAGAAATACAAGGATTTCCAGATTTTTCCATAATAATATTTTTTATGGTCCTGGGGTTTTGAACTCAGGGCTTTGTATTTGCTAGGCAGGTGTTTTATCAATTGAGCCCAGCAGTTTTGTTTTTTTAATCTTAGTTACTTTTAAAACATGATCTTATCGTTTTGCATGGACCACAATCTTCTTACCTATTCCTCTTGTGTAGTTGGGATAAGAAACACATGCCACCAGTTGAGATGGGGACTTCTTGTTTTCCTCCTGGACCGGTCTCAAATCACAAGCCTCCTGATCATCTCCTCCCAAATATCTGGGATTATGGGCAGGAGTCTATCATTACTTTTGTCTTGAGTTACTCTCTCAACTTCTTTCTATGCAAAACATTTCATAATATGCCACCATATATAATCCTTTGAATATAAAAATATCTCATGGTACCAGGCGCTGGTGGCTCAGGCCTATAATCCTAGCTATTCAGGAGGCTGACATCTGAGAATCTCAATTCAAAGCTAGCCTGGTCAGGAACATCTGTGAGGCTCTTATATACAATTAGCCACCAGAAAACTGGAAGTGGTGATGTGGCTCAAGTGGTAGAATGCTGTCTTGAGCTGAAGAATTCAGGGACAGTGCCCAGGCCCAGAATTCAGGCCCCACAACTGACCAAAAAAAAAAATGGTTCATGGCATGAAGCATGGTTGTACCAATAGTCTTATATAACTGCTTTTGGGGAGACTGGTGTCCCTCTTTCTTTCACAGTTCACAGCTTAGCTAGTTCCATTTCCATCAGCCTTTGTTATAACTATTCTTCATATAAGACAAAGTAATTTGAAAGGAATAAAATTCCTGGATGTGAGAACTTCTGGTTTTCATACCTAATTACAAGAATCTTTTACACTAAGAGGGGTGAGTTGAGAGAAGAGTAGATGACTCCATCATTTCCAAGACATCCCATTTCTAAGGCTGATCCACATTGTGTGCAAGGAGATGAACAATTGGCTCAGGGGTCCAAAGAAGAAGACACTACTGTGGGTCAAGAGGATGGCCTGTGCAGAAGCCTGGAATTCCGAAGAGGATAGATTGTACAGATGCATGGAATTCTGAATGCAAGAGGTGTTTGTTGAGGTCAAATGAAAGAGCTCCTAGCACAAGAGCTTTTCCCAGCTACTCTGCAGACCTAGGGTGATTTTTATCATGACACTTAATCTCTCTGGACTTCATTTCCTTGTAAGTAACATGGGGTTGTTGATTATGTGCTCCCCAGTTGGGTCAGGGAGCAAATGCATGGATTAATGGCCCATGGAACTAATCCAACTGTTCCTGATCGGTTTGTATTTGGCAAAGGTTAAGTCTGTTCAAATAACCAGGATCTATTTTCTGCCTCACGTACTTTTTAAAGTGGTATTTTTATGAGCTGAAAGAGTTAATAATTATTTGAAAGTGGAGGGTCAGTGGTTTCTTAAGTTTCCAAGCTTTTGCAGAACCAAGTGCTAGGAGGCTCTTTTCCTGTACACCCTGGGTCCCACAAGGACATTACTTGGGAGTAGTCTCTTACCCTTGGTTAACAACACTGCTCCCCAGTGTGCTAGCCTGGAAGAGCTGTTCCTTCACCGCATGACCTTCCTGAGGGCAGGGTTGGCAGCTATGGCTACAGTAGGCCAAGGTTGTGTCTGTGCAGTCCTTTAGGGTCTTGCTCTTGTCCCTGTGTGTATGTACATACAGCTAGGAGTACTTTCTGCAGCTCCCGTGATGCATGCATTCCTGAACAGTCCTGGCCTGCCTGGGTTCATTGGCTAGACAAGTTCATTATCAAGCAGCAAGGGCAGGTGCAGGGGCCTTTCCAATGAGGACGGCCCAGTCTCCTTCCTGGTCTTCGTCTCTCTGGGTGTGGGAAACAGCTGAGACACCTTTAAGCAGCTCTCTAATTGCCCTGCTTTGTAAAGTTACCTGATGATGGAGCAGATTTTTTTAAAGCAGTGCCCAGAAGGGAATCTGATTGTACTTAGGACTTGCAAGAAACCAGATTCTTTCCAGTGATTTTTCTCATTGATGCCAGTGTTTACTTGGGTTTTGCTGCCAGTCTCCTGCTTTCTGTGCTACCCATGATGATAACTCAATTTAAGTGATTAATTAGGCTAAGCCAGGGGGTCTTGGTCTCAGAAAACTGTAGTTTCTGCCACAGAGGAAGATACCTATGGATCTTTCTGGGGTCTGAGGTATTGCATCCCTTCTCCTTACATGTCCTAAGGTTTGCTGGGACTTCCTGGCCTAGTACCCTTTAACTGAGGGACCCCGAGTTTGTGCCTGGTCCTGTTCATCAGAATTCTAATGGTTAGGTTCTCATTTATCATTAGGGACTTTATCATTGTTATGTCTTCTATATCTGAAGCACGGAGACTACCTTGTTCCTGTCCATCTCTGCCAGAGAACATTGACTCCTAAAATCAGGCGGTAGCTTTTGCAGTGTCCATCCAAGGGGCTGTGGCCTCTCTAGCAACAGAGACATCATCCTGGCTCATGCTGCCCTTCTGTAGCACATAGAATAAGCTGCACATGAATTCAGGTATATAACCCAGTTCCTGTACAGAACATGAAGAATCAAATCACGTTCATCATCGATGTTCCCAAGATGCCTCATTGCTTTATAGCTGCCTTGGAAGACTACATAGACTAAATATTGGTTGATTCTTAACATTTGCTACATCTACACTATGGACTAAGCATTATTCTAAATGTTGTATATTTACTATTTCATACTTTCATTATAATATATACTTATATGCTTATATACATATATGTATATGTACTTACACACATGTACACACACCTATCTGTCTGTCTATCTACTTCTCTACCTATCTATCTATCTATCTATCTATCTATCTATCTATCTATCTATCTATCTATCTATCTATCTAATGAATTGGTTATTAATCCCTTGGCCAACATTTTTTTATATTACATTTAAAATTCAGCTGGGCACCAATGGCTTATGCCAATAATCCTAGCTACTATGGAAGAGGAGATCTGAGGATCATGGTTTGAAGCCAATCTGAGTAGCAAAGTCCATAAGAGTCTTATCTCCAATTAATCAGAGAAAAAGCCAGAAATGGCAATGTGACTCAAGTAGTAGAGCACTAGCCTTGTTCAAAAGGAGCTCAGGAAAAAGGTCCAGGCCCAGAGTTCAAGCTCT